GGAGGTCCCCCCTGAGAGGCTGTGCCACAGGGCGCTTCGTCTGGTGCACGTGTGCGTGGCGGTGGAGCCCTTGGCCCGGATCATCCGCGTCATCCTGCAGTCGGTGCCTGACTTGGCCAACATCATGGCCCTCATCCTCTTCTTCATGCTGGTCAGTGCCCCCCACGCCCACCGGCCCCTGTCCCTGAACGGGCCCTGGGTCGTGGGGACAAAAGCGTGTCTGGGGGAGAGGAGAGTCCTAGGGCCTGAATAGCTGTGGCTCTGCCAGGCCCGGGTCAGCCAGGGCGGGGCTCTGTCTCTGGCAGGTGTTCTCGGTGTTTGGGGTCACACTGTTCGGCTCCTTCGTGCCCAAGCACTTCCGGAACATGCAGGTTGCCCTGTACACCCTCTTCATCTGCATCACCCAGGACGGCTGGGTGGACATCTACAGCGACTTCCAGTGAGTGCCGTCGCCAGAGGGGCTGGGGGCTCGGGGTTGGGGTGAAGATGGGAGGGTTCCCAGGGCTTCAAACTGAGAGGAGGAAATCCCCAGGGAGGGGGAGGGCACTCCAGGCGGTGCTACTCAAAGCTTTGTCGCACTTGAAACTCCATACACTGGGGGCCTGAAAACCCCGCCAGGGCATATGTGTCCCAAATCCTGACAGGTTGGATAAAAATGGAAGAGAAGGGATTGCGGCATGACCATCCCCAGGGGTGCTTTCTCCTTCTCCCCCTCTGTCTCTCTGGTGGGTGCATGAGCCTTCTGGCAATTTTTTTGGAAGGTTTATGCCATAGGGTGCATGTGTTTGCCAGACACACACACACACACACACAGAGAGAGGGAAAATGAGAAATCACCCTCTAGGGAGAGGCCATGCTGCAATCCCCTTTCATCCATGTTCCTCCTGGGATTTTGGGCACACACGCACCCGGTGTGATTTTCAAGCTGCTGGGTCGGGGACTCCAACCACAGTTGGCCATGTGGGAATCCAGCACCTTCACCACCACGCTACCTGCTGGCCTGCCCTCTGGCAAAATTTGCTTAAATAGAAGAAAGAAGGAAGGAAAAAGGAAGAACTTCACATATTCAAAGTCCCAGGCCTACCCGTTGTGGAGACTCCCGTCATGAGAAGTGGACCGGGTCTGGAGTTGTGCCTAAGGTCACAGGGCAGCCTTCGGCCTGCTCTCGCTCTCCGGCTCCCAGACTCCTACTTCCTGGGAACTTCCGGCCTCCTTTCATTCGTTCTTTGACTTACCACCCCAGGTCCCTTTCGTGTTGTTCTTTACCTTTGTCCCATGCAGTTCTAAACCCTGCTTCCTCCCAGCCTTCTCCAGGGAGTGTGTCCCTGACTCACACCCTTTTATCTCCTTCCTGTGGCGTGGAAGCCCAGCAGGGCCAGGGCTTCTGCAGTCACCGTCCATCATGACGTCTGTGGGAAAAGCAGACTGTGCAAAAGAGCTGGGCTGGGCGTGAGTCCTCGCGCCCCCGCCCCAGTCACATGACCCTGGGCGAGTTACCCCGCCTCTTCTGCACCTCGGTCTTCTCATCTGGGAATGGAGGGTTACCATACAATATAAGCATGATTGCTATGAAGGTCAGGAGGAAAATCCACACATGTCTCTCATCACAGAGCCTCGCTGGCATGCTTCCGCTTAGATTTTATTTTTATTTTTTTATTTTAGGTTTTGCTCTAGGGCACATATGTTCACAGGGGGAGGGGGGTTAGAAATCATCCCCTGGGGGATTGAGGGATGGCTATGGTGCAATCCCTTCTCCTCCAGTCTCAGGATTTGGGGCATGCACACACACGTGCCTGGTATGATTTTCAAGCCACCAGGTTCAAGACTCAAACTATGAAGTTGGCCATGTGGGATCCAGCACCAAACTTCTATGTCACCTTCTGGCCCTGAATGTATATAATTCTTATATACAAAAGAACTTCAAAAAGTTTGTGGACAGGGGTCAGCAGGTGGCATGGTGTTTAGGGGCACTGGACTCCCACATGGCCAACTGTGGTTCGAGTCCCAGACCTAGTGGCTTGCTCTCTCACTTTCCCTCTCTCTCTTTTTCTCTCTGTCCCTCTGTGGTCACATTTAAATAAATAAATAAGTACAGTTATATAAAATAATGCTTTTTTAAAAGAAGTTTGTGGACAGCCAGCAGGTGGCGTGGTTAAGGTGCCCGCGTGGCCCACCGAAGTTCGAGTCCTGGACCTGGTGGCTTGCTCTCTCACTTTCCCTTTTTCTTTCTTTCTTTTTTTTTTTCTGGAGAGGTTTTTGCTATAGGGCGCATGCGCTCTCCAGAAAGACAGAAAGACAGAACAGAACGTAAGAAATCACCCTCCAGGGGGTGGTAAGGCCACATCGCAATCCCTTCTCCATTCTCCTCTTGGGATTTTGGGAATACATGCACATGTGCCTGGCATCAATTTGAAGCTGCCTGGTCCAGGACGTGAACTGCAGTCGACTACATGGGAGTCTAGCAACATAACCATTATGCTATCTGCTGGTCTCTTCCATGAACTTTTTATTTCTTTTTGTTTTTTTCTTTTTTTTGGGAAAGGTTTGTGCTATAGGGCGCATGCGCTCGCCAGGGAGAGACAGAGAGACAGAAAGCGAGAGATCACCCTCGGGGGGATGGCCACGCCTCAATCTGTTCTCCTCCATTCCCCTCTTGGGATCTTGGGCACGCACACGCGCCTGGCGTGAGTTTAAGCCACCGGATCTGGGACTCAAACTGCAGTCGACTACATGGGAGTCCAGCGACACAGCCATTATGCTAACTGTTGGTCCCCTCATGAACTTTTTAAATGGAAGATTTACAACAACGTATTTATAGTGGGCAGCTCAGAGCAGATGGGCTATTTTGCTGGTCGTATTTTTCTTCTCGTTTTATAATAAGCTTGAATAATTTTTTATAATAAAAACGTGAGTAGAGAGTTGCGCTAACAGGGCTAGCTCTGTCGGCATGGTGATAATGTGTTCATCAGGAGAAGAAGGGTCCCACATGGTGACCGTGGTTCAAATCCCCAGCTCGGTCAGCCCGAAACAATCGGACGTGCGTGCTGTGCCCACAAATTGACGGGTCGGAGGAGCCGAGGAAGGGGATCACGGCATGGCCAGACCCTGTGGCGGGTGCTCCTGTCCCTGTCTGTCTGTCTCTCACGCACACACAGGGCCTCCGTCACGAATACAGGAGGAAAGGCATATGCAGCTCACAGACCGCAGTTGTCTGTGCCGATGGACAGACCCCCAGCTGGCAGGGTTGGTGCCCAGCAAAGACCAGCCGCTGCGACATAGGGCATTCTATGTGCACCCCAGCAGGAAGCAGGCAGGAGTCCCACGGGCCATCGCTCGCATTTCATAGATGAGCACACTGCAGCTCAGAGGGCCAGGAGAGTGATGGGGCCCCTGCCTGCCACCTCCAGGATGGAGAGGAGGGAGTACGCGATGGAGATCGGGGGCGCCATCTACTTCGCCATATTCATCACCCTCGGGGCCTTCATTGGCATCAACCTGTTTGTCGTGGTCGTGACCACCAACCTGGAGCAAATGATGAAGGCGGGGGAGCAGAGGAAACAGCACCAGGTCCTCTTCAGTGAGGTGCGTGTGATGGGGAGGGCAGGACGGGCGTGGCGGTGCTGGGTTGGGCATGTGTGTATGTGTGTGCTGGCACACTCAAGGACCTGGAGAAAGCCAGGCCTAGTGCCTGGACGCAAGAGGGCCTGCCTTCGGGGCTTCACAGGGCTGTGGATATCCTACTGCTAGTTTCCATAGCAGATCAGAACCGTGCAGCTGGGGACCTTAGGGTGAGGGGGTCATCTAGGCCTCAGTCTCTTCCCTTGGGAAGTGGGGATAATGGTACTTACCTCACAGGGCCATTAGGAGGTGTGCGAGGGGAAAGGCTGGCTGGAGAACTGTTTCTCGGGGTAGAGTTTCTGGACGTTCTGGAGGGAGGGGAGTGCTTTCCACAGGATTGAGGGCTGAAGGTCCACCTGAGAGGTGCCTTTGAGGTTGAGCTCCTGGCAAAAAAAAAAAAAAGGAAGGCTAAGAATGCCGGAGCTGAAATGCGGGGTGCTAGAATTCAGGTGTACTAAGACTGGTCCTCCCTGAAGACACGCAGGCGGGACCAGCAGTTAGCGTAATGGCTATGTCGCTGGACCCCCACGTAGTCGACCGCGGTTCTCCTCCTGGACCTAGTGGCTTAAACTCACACCGGGCGCGTGTGCATGTGTGCCCAAGATCAGGAGAGGAGAATGGAGCAGAAGGGATTGTGGCATGGCCATCCCCTCTGGGGGTGATTTCTAGCTTTCTGTCTCTATGTCTCTCTCTGTCTGGCGCACACGCCCTATAGAGAAATTCTCTCCAAAAAAAAAAAGAGGGCAGGAAGGGGTGGGGATGCCTGCCTCAGTTGCCTGCCCTCCCCTCCCCTCTCCCCAGACAGGCGAAGAGGAGGAGGACGGGAGTGACGAGCTGCCACTGGTGCACTGTGTGGTTGCCCGCTTGGAGAAGTCTGGTCTCCCCCAAGAACCGCTTGTGGGGGGTCCCCTGTCGAACCTCTCGGAAAACACCTGCGACGATTTTTGCTTGGTGCTTGAGGCAATACAGGAGAACCTGAAGCAGTACAAGGAGATCCGAGATGAGCTCAACATGTAGGAGGGCACTGTGGGGTACCCCCATGTCAGAGTCAGGGCTGGGCGGAGCCTCATATTCTTCTGGCCTCGAGGCCTTACCATTTTGTAAAGCGGAAGCTGGGGCCCAGAGAGGTTAAGGGGCTTGCTCAGGGTCCCACAGCCAGTTGGTGGAGTAGCTGGAAGCCAGACCCCTCCGGGTTCCTTGAAGGCACAGCCGAGCCCCTGTCTGTTTTGGGCTGCACGGAGGGCGAAGAGCGGCGGGCGCCAGGGAGGCGGAGGGAGGGCTGCCTTCCCGCAGCTCCCCGGAAGCACTCGCCGCTCCGCCCTCAGGATCGTGCAGGAGGTGCGCTCCATCCGCTTCAACCAGGAGCAGGAGGAGGAGCTGCTGCATAGGCACCTGTCCTTGAGCCTGTCGTTCGAGAGCGGGTCCTCCAAGGACATCCGCGAGATGGCTCACGAGCAGGACCTGCTCACTGCACTCGTTAACAGGGAAAAGGTGCGTCCCCCGTCGCGCCCACGCCACTCGCCCTGCCCCTGGCCTACTTGTCAAGGCTCTATTTCGAGTCTGTGCCACCCCGCTAAACTTCCACGCCCCCGCCATCAGCGCCCAACTGGGGTCGGGATCTTCCTCGAGAGGCCACGCCCCCCGCGGCAGGCTCCGCCCCACGAGCCCGTCAGTCTCTCGCGCCTTCGCACGTGAGCCCCTTCTGGCGGCTTGAGCCGGCTCAGCTCTTAGGGCAAGTGTTTAGGTTCGCTGTGGGCAAAGGACCCCTGGATCCTACGTAGGGAGTGTACGATCAGCCTTCTCTCGAAGGAGGGAGCTTCTGGGGTGGGGGGAGAGATAAACCTCCGGGGTGCTTGATTTTTCTCTCTGCGTCTCAGGCCCTCTGACTGGTTCAGAACGACCTGGGAATGTTCACAGCCTGGGCTCCCTGGCTCAGAGGGGTAAAAGGGCTAGACCGAGCCGCCGCGGGTTTCCCTGGCTGGCCTGGGCCCCGCAGCTGTCGCAGCTGGAGGAGGGGGCAGTAAGGGAAAGTCTGCATGGCGGAGACGGGATCGACGCGAAGACCTCTGGGTTCGCAGGTTCATGATTCTACCACGAATATGCTCAACAAACACAAGAGCAGCCGCTGAGAGGGCAGGATGGGAGCCCAAGGCTGCACACACCCGGCTGCTGGATCTTCCTGCATCCCTGGCCACCCTCGGCCTGTAGACACCTGGTCAGAGGCACCGCAGGGCTCGCGCCTGTGAGACCCAGCTCCAGAGCAGCCAGGATGGAGAAGGGTGCCAGATGCACGTGGAAGCCCTAGCACCCAGGACGAGCACAGAGGCGGTACTAGCCAGCGCAGGCAGGATTTGGGCTAAGGACAGCCCCCTGCTCTGGTCCAGGGCTGGGCGCCTGTGGGCCCAGGTCCGAGCAGAGAAAGGTGAGGCCCTGGGACTAGGCACCTGTGTATTGACAATAAAGTGTTGTGTTGGAATCATGTCTGACTGGTCGCTCTCCAACCCCGTGGAGATCTTGCCCCTTCTCAGAAACCTCCTCTCAGGGAGGCTACGTGGTGGCATGGCAGTCGCACAGTGCTCTGTGAAGCTACCCACATGGCAAGGGTCTGTGTTCAGGTCTGGAGACTTTTTTTTAAGAGAGATTTTTGTGCACTTGCTGGAGAGAGAGACAGAGAGACAGAAATCGAGAAATCATCCCCCAGAAAGGACGGCCACATTGCAATCCCTACTCCTCCATTCTCCTCTTGGGATTTTGGACACACATGCACACGTGCCCGACATAAGTTTCAAGCCACGGGGTCTGGGACTCAAACCTCAGTCAACTACGTGGGAGTCCAGTGACATAACCATTACTCCATCTGTTGGTCCCTGTCTGGAGGCCTTGAGTATGGTGTAAGCCCATGGTCTAGGGCTGGCTGAAAGGGTGTGGGTGGATCACAGCATGGGGACTTTGTTGGGGCCCTGTTTCTGTCTCTCTCTCTCATGGAAGAAAGAGATTAATGTGCAGAGGGGGCACCTATTTGCCTGATGAGTTACACAATGCCTTCAAGAGTTTCCAATGTAATGGGAGAGAAAATCCTCACCCCTGAAAATTTTAGAGGTTTTTGCTATAGGGTACATGAGCTCGCCAGAAAGAGACAGAAAGCGAGAAATCACCCCCCAGGGGGGATGGTCACGCCGCAATCCCTTCTCCTCCATTCTCCTCTCAGGATCTTGGGCACGCACGCACATGTGCCCGACATGACTTAAAGCCACCGGGTCCGGAACGCAAACTGCGGTCGACTATGTGGGAGTCCAGTGACACAGCCATTACGCGAACTGCTGGTCTCCGAAAATTTCTGAGTTTTGGTAGACATTTTTATTTAAAGCTTTTTTTTTAAAGAATTATTTAACTTTATTTACTTATTTATTTACCTATTTTAATTTGACTAGAGAGACAAAGAAAGTGAGAAAGCAAGCCACCAGGCCTGGGACTCAAACCATGGTTGACCATGTAGGAGTCCAGCGTTCCAGACCATCACGCCACCTGCCAGCCCCACTTTTGGTAGAAATTTCATCTCTGCACTTAGGGTCCCACATTTTGGGGGACAAGCTTGTCATCATGGTTGGGAGCCCCGTGTGATGAAGGAAACAGCCCTACCTCTCTCCCTGTCTGAATGTGGAAGTGTCGCTAACCCAGTCACATGGGAACAGCACCTCCACCCTGGAATGGACTCAGAGTGTGGGTCCCGGCAGGCTTCGTAGAGAAGAGGTGTGCTGAGGCTTGCTGGAAGGGAGCGGGAGGACCGTGTGGGCCAGCTGAGTGAACCTGGGGCCTGTGAACCCCATCTGGGACCTTCACACCAAAGACCACTGAGGACCTCGGCGGGTTCCTACGCAAACCGATGGAGAGCTCAAGAAAGCTGTGACAGCCGGGAGCCCCGGGCAGAGCTGCCTCGGAGGACCAGAGACCTGAATTCAAGTCCTGGGGCCTCACTCTGCCCATTCGTGCGACGGGGCTGAGTAAGACTGACCTCCAGCGCTCAAATGGAAGCCTGGGCTCTCAGCACAGGAGGTAGAAAACTGATGAGGTCAGCCACGTCCCTGGGACTCAGGTTCCCTGCGGCTGGGTGTGGGGAGGCTGGAATCGTTCTGCCCTGCTGCTCAGCAAAGCCTGACAATTAGGGACCTTGGGGATAGTCACCATTCGGAATGGGAGTCCCCAGAGGTCCACTGATTGCAGCTGATGGGAAATTTCCAGCTTTGGTTCCAGCCATGAGGAGCCCCCAAGGCCTGCCCGGAAGCACACCTGGGGACGGGCTGGGAGCTCGGCAGGCAGATGAGAGGTGGCACCAGTGCCAGCAGCACCCCGCCATCTCAGAGCCGCTGTCCTACCCCCTGCTTGGGCCAGTACACCTTCCAGGACCATCCACCTCACAGATATGGGCTGCCGCTGGCTCTGGCTGCTTCTGCTCGTTACAGTGGATGGAGCCCTCAGCATGTCTGGTGAGTGTTCACAGACCCCTCCCACCCATTCTTCTCTGGGGGCTCTCACAGCCCCTCTGGCAGGGGTGGGGGGAGGCAGTGGGAGATCAGGCAGTGTCTCCGGGAAGACCTAATAATGTGAGCACAGCCACCCCCCAGATTATCTGAAAGGCCTGGGGACAGGAACACGGTGGGATGACCTCTCAGGCCTCGCCTGTGCATCTCGTACGGGGTCTCCGTCTCTTGTCGCCTCATCCATCTCCTTTTCCATCTGGACCAAGCTACAAGCTTGGGGTTGCAGCAGGCTAGTTCCTTCCCGAGCTGGCCCAGAGCCAAGGGCCCCTGCTGCCCTGCCTTGTCTGACTCCTCCAAGGAGCAACCACCACCCAGGACCTTCCTGAGCCTGAGGTCGGAGGACAGCACTAGGTTCTCAGCTCCCGGGACAGTGCGGAAGACGGGACAGTACTGGGAGCTGCAGGAAACGGGATGTCTTGTCCCCCCGGAGCCCACGACGTACCAGGAGCAGAAGCAGCTTTGACAAAGCATCCAGGAACCAGTCACCCCTGTTGGAAAAGGGAGTGACCACGGCCAACTGGGTTCCACCTGAGCATCAACTGCGTGCTAAGCAGCGTGCTGAGGGCTTTCTGAGCTTTTCGCAGTTAACCCTCCTGACCAGCAGCGAAGAGGGTGCTATTGGGGCGTCGGAAAAGTCAGGCCATATTTTTCTTGTGTTTTTCTATGCAAAAATGCATCATGACTTTCCTGACAGCCCAATATGACCGTGCCTGTGTTACAGTTGAGAAAACTGAAACTCAGCGCCCAAAGTAATTTCCCTGTCCCTTCATGTCCCCAGAAGGAGCACGTCCTCTCTCACAGAGCTGGGGTTATAGCCCGGGTCTGACTCAGAACCTGAGCTACGCCTCATTGCCTCTCATGGGAGCTGCTGTGGGCAAGGGACTCCCGTATCATAAAGATGTCCGCTCTTAGGCCGGCTGACGGTGTGGTGGGAAGGGCAGCCGGATCTCACATGGCCGACTGTGCAGTTCGAGTGCTGGACCCAGCCAGCCTCAGAAACACGCCGGGCATGTGTGCGTGCATGTGCAAAATCCTGACAGGAGAATAGAGAAGGGACTGCAGCGTGGCCATCCCCTCTGAGGGCTACTTTCTCCCGTTCCCCCTCTGTGTGTCTGGTGAGCACATGAACCTTGTAACAAATTGAAAACAACAACAACAAAAAGTTAACTCTCACCAAATCTATTGGGTCGTCAGGAAAATCAGGACACATTTTTGCATAGAAAAATATGTCATGACTCCCCCGATGACCTCATCTAATTGCAGTCCGTCCACTTCCAACCAAAATCCCAGCAGGGGCCAGCCTGTAGTGCAGCAGTTAAGTATGGTACACAGGGAGTCAGCCACATGGCCAGCTGTGGTTTGAGTCCCCGCCCCGGTGGCTTGAAAAACATACCAGGCATATGTGTGTGAGTGCCCGAAGTACTGACTGGATGGAGAAGTGGAGGAGAAAGGGATCGAGGCCCGACTGAGCTCCACTGAGGAGTGCTTCCTCTCTCTCTCCGGTGAGAGGATGAGAACTCTGGGGAAAAATAAAAAATCCTAACAGGGTTTTTGTAGAACTTGATAAATTGATTCTCATGTATGTAAGGAAGGGCAAAAGGCCAACAGTAGCCATTGGCAGGAGAGAAACATCTCTCCCTGCAAATAAAAACTTTAGCCCCTTATAGGAAAACCTCCGTGCATTTTAGCCTGGACCGTCATTGCGATCAGACCTACAGATCGTGGAGTTTAGAGGGTTCCTCCCACATTGAGCCCGTGTCCTCTGCTGTGTGAGGGGGACATGGAGGCTCTGCAAGAGGTGAGGCTTCCCCCAAGCTCACACTGCAAGTCGGTGACTGAGTCGGGTCTAGAACTCAAGGCCCTGCACTCTCGTCAAGCATCCCGGCCAGCTCTCCTGCCCTATCGTGACCCCTTACCTCTGCACAAGAGTAGGAGAAAGTGGGGTAGGGGTCTGGCATAGCCAGAGTTGGGGACAGCTGTCAGTACCTCTTCAAAGTTAGGTGATGGGAAGGACAAGCTGCCTCCTGGGCCAGGTCACCGCCCATTTTCTGGACTAGGCCCTCGATGACTACCAAGGTGCAGTGACAGGGCACCAGGTGGAGGGCCTATTTCTGCCCATTGCCCAGGGGAAAGAGGTTTCCCAGGGATGCAGCTCAACATGGCAGGTCTGGGCTTCTCCCTAAGGAGCGTGACTGGCTCAGCCCTAAGAATGAAGCTGTGTTTCGTGAGACAGCTCAGTGCGGGGCTCTGGGCACTGACAGACCTGGGTTCTAATGCAGTGCCGGCCCTCACAGCTGAGTGACCTTGGACACTCAGGCTCACTTGTCTGAGCCTCAAGATCTTCATCCGATAAGTGGGAACAGTAACCCTTAGCTCGGGTTGTTTGTGAAGATCCCACGTGCCCCTTGTGCACGGGGCAGCACCTAACCCCTGCACGGTGAAAGCTGGAGAGTGTCCAGATGACTCTTAACTGGGCCAGCAGATGATGTGGTGGTTAAGGGGCTGGACTCCCACATGACCAGCTGTGGTTCGAGTCCCAGACCTGGCGGCTTGAAAAATCACACCAGGTTGGGACCAGCAGTTGGCGTAATGGCTATGTTGCTGGACTCCCATGTAGTTGATCATGGTTTGAGGCCTGGACCTGGTGGCTTAAACTCACACCAGGCACGTGTGTGTGCATGCCCAAGATCCCGAGAGGAGAATGGAAGAGAAGGGATTGCAGCGTGGCCATCCCCCCTGGAGGGTGATTTCTCGCTTTCTGTCTCTCTGTCTCTCTCTGTCTTTCTGGTGAGGGCATGCTCCCTATAGAAAAAAATTCTCAAAAAATTTTAGAAAAAAAAAAAAAAAAAAATAACACCAGACACCTGTGTGTGTGTGTGTGCCCAAAATCCCAGGAAGAGAAGGAACTGTGGCATGGCTATCCTCCTGCGGTGCTGATTTCTCACTTTTTCTTTCACTGTCTTTCTCCAGCAAGTATACATGCCCTATGGCAAAAACCTAAAAAAAAAAAAAAAAAAAAAAAGACTGTTAATGCACTAAAGCACTCAGCTTGCAATTACATTGTACGAAATCACGTTGCACAAAAACTATCTTTAAATGCAATAATCATATTCAATACAGTAGGAAACTAACATCACACAAAGCAAATACCAAAAGAGGTAACATTTATTTTTTTAAGTTTGTTTAATTAATTAATGTTATTATTATTATTATTATTATTTTAAAATTTTCTATAGGGCGCATGTGCTCACAAGGAAGAGAAAGTGAAAAAGCAAGCTACCAGGTCTGGACTTGAACTATGGCTGGCCATGTGAGAGTCCAGTTTCTTAACCACCATGCCACCTGCTGACCCCTATTTTATTCATGATAGGGTGAATGCACACATGAGAGAGAGAGGAAGAGGAAGAGCCTTGACAGTGTCTTGTCAAGGCTCCATCCCCTTCCTTGGCCCTCCAGCTTGTCAGCATCTAGGGCACGTGTGCACGCAGTGTGTTTTCAAGCCAACCTGGGGACCCAAACCCCCAGCTGGCCATACGGCCTCCAGCACCTCATGGACTGACTATACTACCGGGCCAGGGTGAGTTGGTATTATTTTTTTTATTTTTTTACTTGGCAAACCAGAACATCTGAGCGCTCTGGTCGGGTGGAAGGAAGGATAGATTGTTCCCTTTTTTGTTTGCATTTTATAAAACCGGCAGTGTTTCAATCCGGATGGCTGTATCAGCTCTCAAGTACCACAAACAGCCACTGGGGCGAGAAACTCTGTCGTCTTCATTATTGCTTTCATCCACAGTGTCGACTGTATCTGCACCTAACAGCTCATCAGCAGCCGGACCATCAGTGCCCGGGTCCCAGGCGCATGCAGCATCAGCTCCTCCTACAGCCTCACCGAAACCCAGCAGCTCCCCTGGGCCCACTGAGCAGCCTACCTCCGTAGATGGAACTCAGGGGGAGGAACCACACGCCACTCTCAAGGCGGCCCCTGAGGGCACAATGACATCACCGTCCAGGATGACTTCTATGTCAAAAGACCTGAGAGAGACATCCAGAGCCACAGCTGCAGCCAGCAAGGCTACTTCTGCTGAGACCGCGGAACTGAGTCAGGAAACTCCAGCCACGACAGCGTCAGCATCCAACTCCGGGGTCAGTGGGGCAGAATCGTCAGTGTCCCCTGTCTCTGAGAAGCTGGCCATCGTCACATCAAACACGCCAGGCGAAAACACACTCGAGCCCCTCACAGCCATGCACACGGTCCAGCGCCCTGAGATAACAGCTAGGACCGGGACCAGCGGAGCGTCCCCTGAACGCACCCCCAGGGCCAGTCCTGGAGCGGGCGCCTGTGCTTCCGATGAGCACACGGCCAGTGGGGGAGGCTGCGTGTGCAAGGCCAACTTCTACAACCACACAGGTATGCCTGAAGACGCATGTGAGTCAGCCGGGGAGAGGCGGGGCAGAGAGGGCATCGCCACTTTAGCCAAGGGAGAGGTGGGGACAGAGAGGGCACTGAACTTTATAAGGCCGGGAGCAACATTGTGTCCAAAGGGCATGGGGGGGAGGTGGTGGTGAGGCTTGGGAAGACACTGGCGTCGGTGGTGGTCCCCGGTGGAGGACAGGCAGCCGGACACATCGGGTAGAACGGACAATTTGTCAGCCCCAGCCCCTGGGACTTTGGCTCTGGGCCAGAGATCAAACCTTCCTACTGGAAGGAACCGATGGCCCAGTAAAGACCAGGCCTGTGGTCCCAGCAGTGACTCGAAGGGCTAGGCAGGGACACTGAGGCGAAAATCTGACTGTTGGGGCAGTCAGAGTGGCAGACATTACCGAAAGTCTGCTTCATAGAGCTTCCCCAGGTGCCACACACTGCCGGGCTCACCTTCTGGCTGGGCTTGGGGCACCGAAACGATGACGAGGGCCTCCACGGTCACAATCACCCCAAATACCCGAGACACGGAAATTGAACCAAAGTCTGCTTTCCCTAAAATAAGCACTCTTCTTAAAACATTTCATCAAAAATATTTCTTTGGCGTTTCTGCTTCATCTATTGAGAAATCCTGCTTTCAGATGAAGTTTTTCTTTTTTTTAAATTTGCTTGAGGCAAATGTACTTGCCAGAGAGAGACTGGGAGGAAGCACCCCCAGTGGGGTGGGCGTGTCCGCACAACACCTTCTCCTCCGTTTTTAATTCCTGTTGGGATTTCGGGAATTCACATGCATGTCTGGCATGTTTTTCTTTCTTTCTTTTTCTTTTTTAATTTAACTTTTATTTATTCATTCATTTATTTTAATATGACTAGAGAGAGGCACAGAGAGAGAGAGAGCGGGAGAGTGAGAAAGCAAGCCACCAGGGCTGGTAGTCAAACCTCGGTGGTCCGCATGGTGTGGCCACATAGTACCCAGCGCCTCAATCACCAGGCCACCTGCTGGCCCCATCGGACATGTTTTTCAAGCTGCCAGGATTGGGATTCAAACTGCTTGGTTGGCCATGTGAGAATTGGCTCCCTTAACCACGAGACCATGGCACCCACCATGATAGAACTTTTTTATTTTAGTTTTGTTTCTTTTTTTTTTTCCTTCTATAGGGTGCATACACTCATTGGAGAGTGACAGAAAGAGAAAGCGCGAGAGAGAGAGAAAGTGAGAGAACACTGCTTAGCGGGGATGGCCATACCACTATCTCTTCTCCTCCATTCTCCTTGGGATGTTGGGCATGTATGCTCGTGTGCCCGGCATGTTTTCAAGCTGCTGGGTCTGGCACTCAAACCGTACAGTCAGCCACGTGGGATCCAGCCGCCTTAACTCCCAAGCCTCTGGCTGGGCCCTCAGAACTTAAAAAAATTTTTTTCCTTAAAATTATTTTTTTGAACTTTTGTCAGAGAGGGGCCAGCAGGTGGCATGGTGGTTAAAAGCACTGGTTTCCCACATAACCGACAGCAGTTCAATTCCCAGTCCTGGTGTCTTGCTTTCTCACTTTCCCTTTCTTTCTCTTTCTGTCTCTCTCTCTAGTTAAAATTAAAAACAAACAAATAATAAACGGACTTAAATAAATAATTTTATTAAAAGAAAACTTTTGTCAGCGAGTATGTGCACTTGTCAGGGATAAAGACAAAGCCCCTCCCAAGGGGGCGTGGTCACACTGCAATTCTTTCTCATCCACTTCTCCATCCGCTCAGGATGTTGGGGACACACACGTACACGCACTGCTTTACACGCCGCTGGGGCCAAGATTCAGACCCTGCAGTCAGCTACGTGGAGCCCACGTCCCTTAGCCACTAGGCCACAGTGTGGGCACAAAAAAGCTTACTTGTTTGTTTCTTCACAGGGCATGTGTGCTCATTGGAGAGACAGAGAGAGACAGTGAGAGGGAAAGTGAGAAACCACTCTCTGGAGGAGATGGCCGCATCGCAATCTCTTCTCCTCCATTCTCGTCTTGGGATTTGGGGCACACACATACCCATGTGCCAGGTGTGGTTATTTTTTTTTCCCCTTTTTTTTTTACGCTTTTTTTTTTTTTTTTTTTGTCATAGGGCATGTTTACTCGCTGGAGAGAGACTGAGACGGAGAGAGGGAAAGTGAAAAATCACTCACCTGGTGTGGGATGGCCATGCCACCAACCCTTCTCTAGTCTTCTCTTGGGGTTTTGATCATGCATGCAAGCTGCCAGGTCTGGGACTGGAACTGCAGTCAGCCATGTGGGAGTCCACTGCCTTAACCACCACACTATCTGCTGGTCCCCTGAATGGTTTTCAGGCCACCATGTCTGGCGTTCAAACAGAAGTCGGCCATGCAGCAGTCCAGGGCTTTAACCACTATACCACCTGCTGGCCCAGCTAATGACTTAGTCGTATCATTTGGCGCTCTACCACAGTATACAACCAACTGAGGCCGCAGAAAGTTATGGGGAGGGCCAGCAGATGGCAGAACGGTTATGTCGCTGGATGCTCACATGGCCGATGTTGGTCTGAGTCCTGGACCTGGAGACTTAAAACTCACATTGGGTGTGTGTGTGTGCATGCCCAAGATCCTGAGGAGAGAATGGAGGCGAACGGATTACGGTGTGGCCATCCCACCAGGGGGTGATTTCTCGCTTTCTGTCTCTCTGTCTCTCTTTGCCTCTCCTGCAAGCACTCGTGGTCTATAGTAAAAATCTCTCTCAAAAAAAGAAAGAAGAAAGAAAGAAAGAAAGAAAGAAAGAAAGAAAGAAAGAAAGAAAGAAAGAAAGAAAGAAAGAAAGAAAGAAGAAA